ATTCTGGTAACCAGAATCGATTCTATAAGAGTGCGATAAGGAAAACTGATTCTCTCAGATTCTGGTAACCAGAATTTGCTCTGTAATGGAGTGTGATAAGGATAACTGTTTCTCTCAGATTCTGGTAACCAGAATTGACTCTATAATAGAGTGTGATAGCGAAAACTAATTCCTTAAGATTCTGGTAACCAGAATTGACTGTAAAAGAGTGTGATAAGGATAACTGATTCTTTTAGATTGTAGTAACCAGAATTGACTCTGTAATGGAGTGTGATAAGGAAAACTAATTCTCTCAGATTCTGGTAACCAGAATTGTCTCTAGAATAGAGTATGATAAGGAAAACTGATTCTCTCAGATTCTGGTAACCAGAATTGACTCTATAAGAGTGTAATAAGGTAAACTAATTCTTCAAAATTCTGGTAATTAGAGTTGACTCTGTAACAGAGTGTGATAAGGAAAACTAATTCTTTAAGATTCTGGTTACTAGAATTAAGAAGCAAATAGTTTATAGATACTTTCAGCAATTTCAAGAGAAATAAACCAAAGAAGAATATACAGGTATATCTCGTTAAACAATGTTTGTTTGCTTCTTAGCGTATACAGTGACACGGCAAAATTTATTCTCAAGGAGTATCTTGTACATATACTTAGTTTTTCGAGGTACAATTGCTAATTATTAGAAAGGTTTGATACTCTTATGAGAATCGTAAGAACTTACTACGACTAGAAATTAATATTAGAAATTCAATCCAGAAATAGTGTTTATAAAAGCATAAACTTACATTGAATGAATTGTATAATTAATACGCTGAACTGTAAGTATGTTAGAAACAGTTATGACTAAAATGTTTATTTTTGGAGTATTTATACCGTACAACACACAGTCGTCCGCCTATGCTATTGTTTAGTCTAAGCAATATATTCTAAAAAATAATGTTCTTCTTTGACGATCTTAGCATATTTATCATGAAAAATGATTTTGTGATGGACAGAATAGACTTAAACAGATTGTTTACATTCCTTATCGACTATATTCCAGAAAATAATGTTCTTCTTTAACGTCCTTCACACATATTGGTCACAAAAAATGATCTTGTGGTCGACAGAACGGACTAAACAGACTGCTTGCACTCCTTCTACGCACTAAAGAAAACTTTTATTTTCAGTAGAAACGAATATGTATGGTGTCATTTATTTTAACTCTGACTATTTTCCTTTTCACACACTGATGATATGTTGTTTCTTTTCTTGGCGTATAAACTATAGAAGAAAGAAAAAAAGAAAATTGAATTTCAAATGCGTATGCGAATAACTATAGATAATGAATACAAAACGATTCTGGTGACCAGAAAGTACTCACCCATACCACAGTTTTCGCCATGATATTTGGTTTCAATTATAAAAGATTGCAGCACGGTAGAGGATGATATTGAATTGTGGTCTATGTGGTATAGTGTATATTTAAGAAAAAAAGTCCCTAAATTGAAAAGTCCCTAAATAAAAGTCCCTATTTGGTCACCAGAATTGACCATAATTCCTTAATTGTCCCTAAATGGGGACACGATATAGGGATGAATCTGGGGACCAGAATTTAGGGCAAATCATAACCTACCGTCTTGACGGTCGGAGTTGTAGCCTTTTAGGCCTCTTCACATTTCAAGTCAAACCACTACCTACATGAAATATTTATTATAGCTAGAGGGTGCGATGTAAACGGTCGTAGGGTGTGAATGCCGATGTGAATGTGAACTGTGGGTGTGGGATGTTGGTGTGAATGTGGATTGTGGGTATGAGTAGCAGTGTTTTATCCAAGTCTGTTTCCCCAGAGGAGCGATTTGCAATTTCGGGAAGCGAAAAATTATTTTCAGGAGGGCAAGTACATAGTTACTTCCGCGAGTCTTGGAGAGCGAACTCGATTTTTGTGGGAACGCAGCTCCCTTGGGCACTTCCTGAATAAAATACTGACGAGTATGGTTACAGATGTGGATGTTGTTCTTTCCATCACTCATCCTCACTCTTCACACTAACGTCCACCGATACCTGCCCGTACCACCACACTGGGGATGTATCGAGACCGAGACGCTCGGTCTCGGCCAGTCTCGGTTGAGAATGAACGAGACAAAGATTCTCGATTCAGCCTCCATCTCCGTACATCCCTACTCCACGCTTTACTAACACCTGCATACTCACTGCTACAATTGGTTCAAGAGTACTTTTCCAAACGGTTTCAAATAAGTTCACGTAGACATTTTACTCACTGGACAAGAGTGAAATGCAGGAGGGTCAAAAGTAAAGAGACTCAACTGTCCAAAGTCCAATTATTAGAAGGTTCAGACACCCAGAACCCAAATGTGTAACTCAAACATTGACGTTGAAATGTTTAAGGTTCAACTGTCTATATAACCTTCGAGGAGTGCTCAGACTATAAGAAAGACCGGAAACACTCTAACTCATTTAAAAACTAGCAGTGTCCAGAAATTCCACTAAAACATGCTTCTATCTTGTCGAAAATAAGTCCGTTTTTTGCAGAATTGACGTCTTGATGAGTAAATATAAGAAACCATTGAATGTTTGATTTTTTTTCTACGATAAATGGGAAATACTATCTCGATTGGATGATATTATCCCTCGCAGTTTTTAGCCCTACAAAACTAGAGTATCCATAGCTGCAGTGGTCGAATAGCTTTGCCAAACGTGCATTTGAATGTGCTCTTTCTGATGGCACCATTTTAGACTGAAAAATCTCGAATCTGTAAAATCGTTTTTGCCTCAAAGCCACATCCTTAAGATCCCGTTTGCCTCTGGCTTGACTAATATTCTGTAGATTTCGAATATAAAAATCCCATTTGACTTTAGACAACTGTTATATCTGTGAATAAAACATAGAACTAAGTCAACATGTGCGAGTTAGAGATGTTAACTCAGTTGGATTGATACGGGTACTCACTGCTTTAGTGTCTCCATGGGTCACCCATAACTCAAACCAGTTGCTTGAGTAGATCATTGATGGAATGTCACCTCTGATCTACCTACAAAAAGTTTCAGGTAGATTGCATGAGTTAACACCAAAGTCATCCTTGTGCTACCCCGTTAAATACTCCAAATTTCATAAAAATTAGTTACGAAAACGTTTTCTCAACGAGTGTGTGGTTAAAATAGAAAGTTTTCGTCAAGTCAAATTTATTCTAAGTTCGCTGTAACGAATTCGGTACGATTTTCATGAACCTGTTCAAAAAAAAAAGATCTTCATGATACCAGGGAGTGCTTCGGATCTTTCATATTATCTGAGTACTTTCTAAAAATAAATGAGATATTTATAATCTGCACATTTCATGCTATTGAATTACAAAGACTTATAATTGAATAGCCAAAGAATTGTTTTTTCGATATCTGAGGGGATCTCAAGTATCAAAATTTGAGTTGTGACCATGTGAAATACAGAATTGTGAAGAATATTGAGAGTTCGATGCTGACTTTCAAAGTAATAAAATCAGGTTTAAACAATTTGGGGCTTCTCACCCGTAATTTCACGCAACTTTTGACATATTAAAGTGTGATTAATGTATGATAATAAACTAAGAAATGAATAATCATCAACTACATGCTTTTCTTAATCTTATTTTACTATATTTTGCTTGTTCGATAAAGTTAGAGATACTTCACTTTACTTTACTTTACTTTACTTTACTTTTCGATAAAGTATATTTACTTTACTTTACTCGATAAAGTAAAGTAGATCAACTTTACTTTAATAAAGTGAAATAAAGATAAAGTGCCACCCCTAGTGTGGATGTGGGTGTGTGGATGTGGGTGTGTGGGTGTGGGTGTGTGGGTGTGGGTGTGTGGGTGTGGATGTGCGTGTGTGGGTGTGGATGTGGGTGTGGATCTTGGAGTGGTTCTACACTTCAACCACATCCCACCCACACCCCACACTCACCCACACCCACATCCACACCCACCCACACCCACCCACACACCCACACACCCACACACCCACACACCCACACCCACACCCACACACCCACACCTACCAGAGATGTGCGGTCCACGGGGTTCACCCCGCGGGGCCACGTGGCGACGGGCGGGCGGGGAAGAAAAAATTAATTAAACGCGGGATTAACGGGGCACGGGTATTTTCCGGCACACGGGCGAGCGGGGCGGGGAATAATTTTTTTAAATGACACGGGTCTCGGGCGGAGCGGGTATGAAATACACGGGTTCGGGCGGGTAAACATTTTTTTTCGGGTGTGATGAAAGATCGTCAAAACTTATCACGGGATGTCCTTAGTATAGGTATGTAGTACAAAGTACATATTGATTGGTTCATTACTTTCATCCTATTATGTACAAGATTGTCTACCATTTGTTTGTTTCTTTCTTTATCGTC